CCACCACCAACGGCCGATCCTCGACCGCGCCATCCGTCGCCACCACCACGCGGCGGGCACAGAGCGCGCGGGCCACCTCGGTCGGCGCCCAGTCGGCCAAGCCGGCATCCAAGGACACCATCCAGCTGCACGAGGTCCAGGACTCGCAGGACGCCGTCATGGACCAGGTCGAAGTGCGCGAGTCGAAGCGCATCAAGACCGAGAAGGACGCCAAGCCCGCCAAGGACGAAGGTTGGGAAGACCTCGACGCCGAGGACATGGACGACCCCCTCATGGTCGCCGAGTACGTCAACGACATCTTCGAGTACATGAAGGAGCTCGAGGTACGTGACGCGATGCGACTTGCTCGCCACCAGCGCTGCCGGAATGCCCTCCGACGCCGTCCGTTGTGCTGACCCCTGGCACCATCCGCCTCCCGTCGCCACCGCAGATCGTCAACATGCCCAACCCGGACTACATGAGCATGCAGCGCGACATCAGCTGGCAGGTGCGGGGCGTGCTGGTCGACTGGCTGATTGACGTGCACGCCAAGTTCCGGCTGCTGCCCGAGACGCTCTTCCTGGCGCTCAACATCATCGACCGCTTCCTGAGCCAGCGGATGATCACGCTGTCCAAGCTGCAGCTGGTCGGCGTCACGGCCATGTTTATCGCCGCCAAGTACGAGGAGGTCCTCTGCCCCTCGGTCGAGAACTTTGTCTACCTCGCCGACGGCGGCTACACCGACGCCGAGATCCTCGCCGCCGAGCGCTACATGCTCAAGGTGCTCGGCTTCAGCCTCAGCTACGCCAACCCGATGAACTTTCTGCGCCGCATCTCCAAGGCCGACAACTACGACATCCAGACGCGCACCGTGGCCAAGTACTTTATGGAGATCTCGCTGGTCGACTACCGGCTGATGGAGCACCCGCCGTCGCTCATCGCCGCCGCCGCCGTCTGGCTGGCGCGCGAGGTGCTGGAGCGGGGCGAGTGGACGCCGACGCTGGTCCACTACTCGACCTACTCGGAAGAGGAGCTGCTGGGCACGGCCGAGATCATGCTCGACTACTGCCTGCGCCCGATCGCCTACCCCTTCTTCCACAAGAAGTACTCGGCCAAGAAGTTTATGCGGGCCAGCACCTACGTGGCCGACTGGGCGCGCAGCACGTTCCCCGAGGCGGTCGTGACCGAGGAGGAGGTCGAGGAGCAGGACCTCCTGTCGCTGCGCGTCGACCTCTTTGAGAGGCGCGGCCTCGAGCGGCCCGACTTTTCGCCCGTCGCATCGAGCCGCGGCGTGACGCCGCTCACCGACTGCCGCGGCAACCTGGACGCCACCACGGCCGACGGCGCCGCGGGCTGCAACGATGACGACGACGACGACGACGTCAGCCGCTCGTTTGGCGACGACGACGACGACGACGACGAAGAGCAGCGCGCCGCGTTGCGCGACGTCACCAATGAGTACGACTCGACCACGTACTAGGCAGGGTGGCCGTCGCCGCCGTCGTCGTCACCGCGCGGCCGATGCATCCGTCCATCGATCAACCAAGGGATACCCTTCGAGTTCCATCCTCCACTCCATCAAGCATTACGTCTCCATCAGTCCGACTACCACAGACCATCCCACGGCATCCTCGCACCTCGGCATCCTTCTTCTTTCTTCTTCTTCTCGCCCCCCTCTTTCTCTTCCCCTCCTTTTCCCGCCACACACGCACACCCGCACCCACATCCACACCCATCCACCCACACAACGTAATAACTCTAGTCTCTGATCAAGTCTCTAGAAAGCCGGCTATTCCCGTTTGGCCCTGACCTCATCCGCACCCATCCTTTCCCCCCTTTCCCGCGCTCCTTGTTGACTCGACTTCTGATCTCGGCCGCGTCGAACGAGAGGGGCGCGGTCGGGAGCTGTTGTAGTGTTAGCTGCCCCGTTGCACCTGCCGGCCGAACCCCC